AAAAAACCCTGACTATTTCGGTACAAAAGCACAACTGATAGACAGAAACTTGCCCACACATCATATATTGTTAGAAGACCTATAGATGGGTTGGGTAGCTGACCTCACAAAAACGATGTGCCCGCTTCCATGGGCAGAAGTCAGCATGTTGTTGGGTGGCCAGATTGCTAGCAATAATGACAAGAAACTGCCATGTGGGGATTCGTAAGTGGCTCGTTTCAGCTCGTTTCATATTGATACCATATCTTGTTTTAAAGTGTTTTAACTGGCTAAAATTCGCTAGCTAGCTGACCAATAACTGTAATGATGTATTTGAGAGACAACAAGTGTTCATTGTGCAAATGTATTCATGTTTTCAATAAACATTGGAGATGAAATATAGCTTACATATTGTCAACAATCTATGCCAACCCTGTCTGTGTTGGCCCATAGTTGTGCATGCCTCGGTTTTGTTGCTAAACAACCAACAGTCTATATAACATTATAAACTGGGTGGTTCAAGCCCTGAATGCTGATTGGCTGACAGCCATGGTATATCAGACTGTATACCACAGGTATGACAAAATATTTATTTTTACTGGTCTAATTACATCAGTAACCCGTTTATAATAGCAATAAGGCACTTCGGGGATTTGTGGTATATGGCCAATATACCACGGCTAAGGGCTGTATCCAGGCACTCCGCGTTGAAGCAAGATGGCGCCGACAGACATGGCAGCTCTGCTTCTAGGTCCTAAGCAACTTTGCAGTATTTTGTTTTTTTGTGTGTTTTTTCTTACATTATTAGCCCAGAATGTTTTTTGTGTTATTACATACAGCTGGAAATGACTTTTGGATATCAGAGCGGTGGTAACTCACCAGCATTACGACCAGAAATACGACTTTCACGAATTGGATCCTTTGTTCGTACCCCTCAGGGCAATTTAACTTATCCCAGAGGCTGCTCCTAGACGCCGCCGGCGGAGAAGAGGTATTTGGAGTGGACTTGTAGTCCGACTCAGGAGGCGGGCACACCATCCACCGCTTCCGAGTATATTACTCGCCAATGTTCAGTCTCTGGACAATAAAGTAGACGAGCTCAGGGCGAGGATCTCCTTCCAGACAGACATCAGGGACTGTAACATACTCTGTTTCACGGAATCATGGCACTCTCGGGATATACTGTCCCCGTCCATACAGCCAGCTGGGTTCTCAGTTCATCGGCACAGACAGGAATAAAGAACTCTCTTGGAAGAAGAAAGGTGGGGGTGTATGTTTCATGATTAACTACTCATGGTGTGATTATGATAACATACAGAAACTCAAGTCCTTTTGTTCACCCGACCTAGAATATCTCACAATCAAATGCCCACCGTATTACCTCCCAAGAGAATTCTCTTCGGTTATAGTCACAGCCGTGTATATTCCCCCTCAAGCCGATACCACGACGGCCCTCAAGGAACTACACTGGACTTTTTGCAAACTGGAAACCACATATCCTAAGGCCGCATTTATTGTAAATGGGGATTTTAACAAAGCAGATTTGAGGAAAACGCTACTGAAGTTCTATCAACACATTGACTGTAGTACTCGCTTAGGAAAAACACTAGACCACTAAACTGCTACTTGCCTTTTCGAGATGCCTACATGCCTACCCAAACCAGAAACCGTGGATAGATGGCAGCATTCGCGCAAAACTGAAAGCGCGAACCACCGCATTTAACCATGGTAGTTATTCCCTCTGCAAGGCAATCAAACAGGCAAAACGTCAGTACAGAGACAAAGTGGAGTCGCAATTTAACGGCTCAGACACGAGACCTATGTGGCAGGGTCTACAGACAATCACAGATTACAAAGGGAAAACCAGCCACGTCGCAGACACCGACGTCTTGCTCCCAAACAAGCTAAACATCTTCTTCGCCCGCTTTGAGGATAACACAGTGCCACGACGCGGCCTGCTCCCAAGGACTGTGGGCTCTCGTTCTCCGTGGCCGATGTGAGTAAGACATTTAAGCGTGTTAACCCTCGCAAGGCTGCAGTCCCAGACGGCATCCCTAGCCGTGTCCTCAGAGCATGCGCAGACCAGCTGGCTGGAGTGTTTACGGACATATTCAATCTCTCCCTTTCCCAGTCTGCTGTCCCCACTTGCTTCAAGATGTCCACCATTGTTCCTGTACCCAGGGAAAGTAGTCCCCTGTAGCCCCTGTAGCTCAGTTGGTAGAGCATGGCGCTTGCAACGCCAGGGTTGTGGGTTCGTTTCCCACGGGGGGCCAGTATGAAAATGTATACACTCACTAACTGTAAGTCGCTCTTGATAAGAGCGTCTGCTAAATGACTAAAATCTAAATGTAAAATGAAAGCAAAGGTAACTGAACTAAATGACAGTAGCCCCATAGCACTCACTTCTGTCATCATGAAGTGCTTTGAGAGGCTAGTTAAGGATCATATCACCTCTACCTTACCTGACACCCTAGACCCACTTAAATTTGCTTACCGCCCTAATAGATCCACAGACGATGCCATCGCACTGCACACTGCCCTATCCCTTCTGGACAAGAGGAATACAGGGAGGAGGTGAGGGCCCTGGCGGAGTGGTGCCAGGAAAATAACCTCTCCCTCAACGTCAACAAAATGAAGGAGCTGATCGTGGACTTCAGGAAACAGCAGAGGGAGCACGCCCCTATCCACATCGACGGGACCGCAGTGGAGAAGGTGGAAAGCTTCAAATTCCTCTGCGTACACATCACTGACAATCTGAAATGGTCCACCCACACAGACAGTGTGGTGAAGAAGGCGCAACAGCGACAGCGCCTCTTCAACCTCAGGAGGCTGAAGAAATTCGTCTTGGCCCCTAAGACCCTCAGAAACTTTTACAGATGCACAATTGAGAGCATCCTGTTGGGCTGTATCACCGCCTGGTACGGCAACTGCACCGCCCGCAACCGCAGGGCTCTCCAGAGGGTGGTGCGGTCTGTCCAACGCGTCACCGGGGGCATACTGCCTGCCCTCCAGGACACCTACAGCACCCGATGTCACAGGAAGGCCAAAAAGATCATCAAGGACATCAACCACCCAAGCCACAGCCTGTTCACCCCGCTATCATCCAGAAGGCGAGGTCAGTACAGGTTCATCAGAGCTGGGACCGAGAGACTGAAAAACAGCTTCTATCTCAAGGCCATCAGACTGTTAAATAGCCATCACTAGCCGGCTACCACCCAGTTACTCAACCCTGCACCTTAGAGGCTGCTGCCCTATATACATAGACATGGAATCACTGGCCACTTTAATAATGGAACACTAGTCACTTTAATAATGTTTACATACTGCATTACTCATCTCATATGTATAACTGTATTCTATTCTATTCTATTCTACTGTATTTTAGTCAATGCCACTACGACATTGCTCGTCCTAATATTTATATATTTCCTAATTCCATTATTTTACTGTTAGATTTGTGTGTATTGTTGTGAATTGTTAGATACTACTGCACTGTTGGAGCTAGGAACACAAGCATTTCGCTACACCCGCAATAACATCTGCTAAATATGTGTATGTGACCAATAAAATTTGATTTGATTTGATATTGGCCATATACCACACCTCCTCGTGCCTTATTGCTTAATTGGAATACAACACATGAGCCTAACCAGATGCTGCTGCAGGCATGGGTTGAATATTAACCTAAAGTTTTTTTAAAATAATTTTCTCTAAATAGCATACTATCTTAAACTACTTTCAAATACTTCTTTCCAAACATTATTTCAAATGCCATAAGCAAACAGACCAGGTTCAAATGCATGAGAGTATTTAAATATTTGTATATTTAAAATACATGCCAATACTTTCCAAGTGTATTTCCAAATACATTCCACCTGCTTGTATTTTCAAATAAAAAAGATTCAAATATTCAGGGTGTGTTGGTAAATTCACTCTGGCCATCTACTCCGATTTCAGAGCACTCTCATCTGAGTGTGCCAGAGCGCAGAATAACTGAAGAATTTCAGAACGCGCAACACCTGTTGAATATGACTGGTGTCAGTAAAGTCTGCAAAAAAACGTTATTAAATTGTTGCCAGCAACACAGTTACAGTCACCAACGCTCTAGATAACATGAAAACAGCCTAACCAGCTCTGATAGGGCGAGTAAAATGGTCAGAGTGAGGTGGTCTCTCATTTGTATCTGGAAGTAGCTAGCAAGCTAGCCAACTTTAGTCAGTTAGCTGCGGTTGTGCGGTCAGAACGCTCGGATCAACCCTACTCCTCCGCCAGAGCGTCCAGAGTGCGCTCTGAACGCTCCGAGAGCCGAAACGCTCTGAATTTATGAACGGACAATCTGACAACGCTCTGAATTTACGAACGCCCAGAGCGCACTCTGAGCGCAATCTGGCACTCAGAGTGAATGTACGAACACACCCTTAGTTCCAAATGTCTTAGAAAGTTATTGAATTACCCTAAATAGCATTTGAACAAAGGTCTGGTTCAGAAAAGATGCGGTATTTATGATTAACTCAGAAGTGACTGTGCAAGGGGGACCGCAATTTTTACCCATAAACGTTTCCTTCTCGATGCCGCGGTTAAAATAAAAAAGTATTTCTTAGAATAGCCTGACTATTATTTCCTTATTGTTCGTAAAAACACATATCAAACGAGTACACACAGTCTGAGGTAGCTGGAAAGGTGGAGCTAGACTGAACTACCCACTCACTCACTCAATACACAACTTAACACGCATGGAACTATTCTTAATGAGTCATTTTTTTAACGTTCTTATTGGAAACAGACAAAACAACATGGCACTGGAACATATCATCTAGGCTACATTTCCGTTTTCTTGAATTTAATTTCGTTGATTTTAAGATGAACACCAGGCTAAACGTTTAGAGTTTGGTCTGTCGTTCTACTGCATTTTGCGCATTTGCAGTTGTTTGCCCCTAGGGCCAAACTTGTTCTAGCAACATCGGATACGCCGTGACTTTTTCCAAGTGTCTCTGTTGTGAGTAGGCTAGTGGTCAGCGGTGATGATGATGAGACGCGGGAAGGGACCTGCAGGTGCTGTGCTCTTGCTCCTGTTGTGCCTGCTGCAGCTCCTGCGCGCCTCTGAGGAGATAACACGCGCCAAACTAACTGTCACCGAGGTAAGGGATTAATTCATACCATCTTCGGGGTCCACCACCATGGACATAATGTACCTAATATGCAAAAGAGACATTATACTCATACTGCATATAATGGAAATAGTGTATTGGAAATTGATTAGCCTGCATCAATATTCACTTCACATGTCAATAAAAAACTAAAAATAGACATGTTCTGTGTCTTCACTAACCCTGTCTTTTTCTTCTTCTCTCTTTTCCTTTCTCTATTTATCCACAATTTCATCCATAGATTCAATACCAAAATGGTAAGTGTGACTACAGTCCATTGTCCCTATGGGATAGCTCATCTTGTACACAATATGAAGAGGAACCATTTATTTGGCATTTTCAGACTTCACTTCTATACTTATTTTACTCCATATATTGTTTTGAGTGTCCGTATGTTCTGTGTTTTCTGTATTTTTTTAAATGTAGGTTCCACCTGGAACCCTGAGAGTCTTCCCCAGCTGAGTCTGTCCACAGTCCAGTTCTCTCCACCCACACCCTCCACTCTCGGGTTCTCTCCATCACAAGGCTCCTGTTCTGCCTGCGTCCATGTACGTGTCAGAATGAAAGCGTCAGGTAAGACTGTTTCCCATCCACAACCAATCTCTGTCTCTCCACACCATCCTCATCCTCCTCTTCCCATTTAGAACCTTCCTCCATCCATCCTCTTTTTATCTAAAGTCTCAGTCTCCCTTTCTCTGGTCTTGTGTTTGTTTCAGTCTATATCTTTCTTCCTTAACCTGACTTCCTCTCCTTCTCTCGTTCTACCTTTACTGCCATAATTCCTTAATCTTTCCTCTGTGTTCCTCTAGACTTCACTGGGACACTGACCATTAAATACCGGGAGCTGTCAACTACAACTCGCAGAGCCATCTCCATAAAGAATGGAGTCAATAATGACACTTTACAGGTATAATTTCTTGAAATGGAACCCCTCTCCCTTTCAGTATTCCTTAGGAAGAGTTAAAAAGGATAAGATAGATGGATACAATTAAATTCACTTTATTCATTTTTATTTTAAGTGGAGTGACTTGTATCGACCCATCGTAGTTGGAAAGACCAACATTAATCGCTTACATCTCCATGACATTGGCCATACGATTTTGGTAAGATCTGATATTTTCACGCACGCACAGACACACGCACGCACACACACACACACACACACACACACACACACACAGTAGAATAGATGAAAGTGTGTTTCTGATCATGTTGCTGTGTGTGTCTCTGCTGCCTTCCAGTGGGAGTTGGTATATGACTGTTTCCCGGCTGACGCAGGGCGAGAGGTGTATGTGTCTTTGTCCTCTAAACCACCGAGACAACACAGGTACATCGTCCAGGAGGACATCTGTCCAGGTACTGATCTCACAATCTATTACTGATCCCCCTCCCTCACCTGTGATGTGATGCACACATGACTGTAAGTCGCTTTGGATAAAAGCGTCTGCTAAATGGCATATTATTATTATTATATTATTATGAGAATGACATCATAATACTAATCATACTATGACTCTCTGTCTGTGGTGATCCAGATTCAGATCCAGTACCGGAGTTTGACCTGTCTGTGGATGAGCTGGCTCGATCCCTCACTGTAACGGTAGCAACTGGAGACCATATATACCAACCGGCTCTCTCATCTGTTGTATACACCAGGTTGTGCTACAGACACACAGACGCAGAATGCTCCAATCTTTCTGATCTTATTACTGTAAGCTCATTTGCGTGTGTGTATTGTGTGTATTGTGTGTGTGTGTATTGTGTGCGTGTGTGTGTGTGTGTGCGCACATGTGTGTGTGTGTGCGTGCGTGCGTGTATAGAGGTGTGTTAAAAAGGTTAAAGTTGTTTATAACATAGGTTAATAATCTGTTTATGAATAGTCTATGTTGTTTTCTCCAGATTTACACCAATCAGTTTCTGTCAGTGACTCTCAGGTTCCCCTACCTGCTGCCCTGTGTCTGTGTACAGGTAAGGTCTGACTCAGCTACATATCACAATGAGCAGAGATAACTATCAGATAAGGTGCAAAGGACTGTGACAGTACTGCATGGCTAAAACTACAGTATGTCTCATGTAAGTGTCTGTCTGTCTGTACATATGCCTGCAGGTATATTACACACACTTGGATGCAAGGCGAACCACAGTTTGCCCGTTTGTGAATGGCTCATTAGATGGTGAGTACACCTCTGATTATTCACTTATTGCTTGTCTCTTAGACCTGCTTGAGTTGCCATAGCTGATGATTAGCTTCAGTTTCTGTGTGTGTTGTTACCTGAACATTTCCAGTGAATCAGACCAGGGGAAACCAGGGGCTTTCTGCTGGAGCAATTATTATTATGAGTCACAGACAAACTAGCAGAGCATGCAGTCCTCACACTATCAGTAACAGTGCACGGTCTGTGTTTGACCACCAGGGGGCAGAGACGTGTGGCGCTCCAGTAATGTGACTCTGTATGGTGAGTTGGGTTCGAGCATGGCCTGGAGTGCCCTGTGTCCTGCTGCTTACCTGAAGCCCTCTGCCTCCCTCTGCTGGCGACACCAGAGAAACACACCCCACTGCAATCCCATCCTCAACTCCACACTGGAGGACATAGAGCAGAAGGGAGATCTGGTAAGTGCTGATGATGATGATGAAGATGATGAAGATGATGATGATGTGATTTTTCTACCGAAAAAATTAATGTTTGCGGGAAAAACCACCCTTTTGTGGGAAGAATTATAAAAGATTTTACAAAATTTTTTCCAGACATGACTACCTTATATGCCCTTTGTAAAACCCCCAAAGTGTTTTTAAGGGGAGGGGGTAAAAGGGTTTTTTCCCTTGGAAATTGAGTGGTTGTGTATGGCCTTTTTGGGGGAAAGGAAACAAAATATTTAATCTTTAATGAGGTTTAGTAGGAAGGGGTTTGAGGGTGTGTCAAGATAAGTGTGGGTTTTCCCCAGCAGTTTAATTTTTTGCGGTGGTCCCACCCAAGGAAAATCGCCAACTTGCCAAAAAATTTTTGGGAATAATGGACATTTTGGGGCCACTTTGAATTGAACCCACCCAATAATGAGGCTGCGGGGGCAAAAGGGGGTAACCTTTAGGAAGGTGTTTAAATGTTTGATTCAGGTAGGGAAACAACTTTTAAATTTTTTTGGAATGAAAATGTTAGTCCCGGGAGTAGGGAAGACGGCGCTTGTAACCCCAAAGGTAGGGGGTCCCCCGGGGAACCCAAAAACCAAAAAAAAGTATGCCAGCAGGGACTTTAACGTTTGGATAAAAAGCGTCTCGAAAAGGCATAAGGATTAATTTTTATTGGGTAGTTTAAAAGGAAAAGGGGATAAAAAATTTAGCCTGAGAGGAGGGGGGAAGAAAAGGGAGGGGCGAAAGAAAAAAAAAAAAAGGAGGGAGGAGGAAAAAGGGAGGGGGGGGAAAAGGGAGAGAAAGGGGAAGAGAAAAGGGGGAGAAAGGGGGGAAAAGGGGAGAAAGAGGAAGAGAGGAGAGAAGAGAAGCAAAGAGGGGGGAGAGGAAAGAAGAGAGGGAGGCAACCGCGAAAAGAGAGGGACGAGAAGAGGAAAGGGGCGAGAAAAAGGGAGAGAAAGAGGGGGAGACCGAGGGGGAGGGGAAAAGGAGGGAGCGAGAGAGGCGAAAGGAAGCGGGGAGGTAAAAGGGAGGAGGGGGGGGGGAGGGGCGGGGGGAGGGGGGCGTTGAGGGAGGGCGGGGGGGGAGGGGGGGGGAGGAAAGAGGGGGAAAAAAAGGGGCGGGGGGGGGGGAGAGAGGAAAAGGGGAAGAGGAGGAGAGATGGGGGAGGGAACGAGGGAAGAGAGGAGAGCCGGCGGGAAGAAAAGAGGGGAGGAGGAGGGCGAGGAGAGAGAGAGAAGAGGGGGAAGAGGAGAAAAAGGAGGGAGAGAGGAAGACCCTTACTTCTCTCTTCTTCCCCTTTCTCCTTCTCTCTCTCTATTTTTTTCCCTCTCTCTTTCTCTTCTCTTTTCCCTCTCTCTTTTTTCCTCTCTCCTTTTTTTTCCCTTTTTAGTTTTCTTTTTTAAAAGGGGGGAAAAAAAAGCCATGAGTCCACTGTATTTTTAAAGGTGAGAGACCAAACGAAAGAAAAACAATTTAAGTTGAAAAGTAAGGGGGAAGTAAAGGGAGAAGGAAAAAAAAACAAAAAAAGAACAAGAAAGAGGAGAGAGGGAGAGGGAGAGGGAGAAGAGAGGAGAAAAGAGAGAGAGAGAGAAGGAAGAGAGGGGAAAAGAAGAAGAGAGACTCGGGGAAATAGAGGAGGAAAAAGGGAGACAGACCGACCTAATCCCTCCTCTCTCCCTTTTTTCGCTCTTTTTTCCCGCTTTATTTTTTTTTCCCACCAATTTCCCCTCTTAGTTTTCCTTTAGGGAAAAAAGCCATGTGTCCTGCCATTTATTGTTAGAAGAAACAAGAAAAGAAGGCGTAAAAGAGGGAGAAGGGAAGAAAAAAAAAAGGGAAAAAAGAACGGGAAAAGGGGGAGGAAAACCCCCCCCAAAAAGGGGAAAATTTTTCCCTTTTTTTCTCTCTCTCTCTCTCTCTCTCTTCTCCTCTCTTTTTTCCTTTTTCCTCTTCTCCTCTTTATCTCTTTTTCCCTCCCTTTCTCTCTCTCTTTTTTAGTTCAATTCCTTCCTTCCATTGTTTTTGCTTTTTGGCTTTTTGTAAAATGTACATATTGCCAAAGCTTACTTTGGATATTTACACTATTAACATAATTAAAATAATAATAATCAATATTGTCAACGGGACAACAGTAACAACAATAACCAAGGTTCAAATAACCATTGAACAATAACAATATAGAGGACATGTGCAGGTTGGTTGGTCTGTCAGACACTGTCCCTCATTTTATGGCAGGCAGCAATGTAGTGCACTGTCAACGCACAGCTCTCTGCGTCCTCCCTCAACAGGACGGGTAGCCTATTCTCATCTTGTCATTTTGTTTATTGTGATTGATTGGATGTTTGGTCCTGAGGCTTCAGTGTGTTAGTAGAACAGATTTGTGAACTCAGCCCCAGGACCAGCTGGATGAGGGGACTCTTTTATTTGCTCAGCTCTTGGCATTGCAGGGCTTGGTAATGATATGAGAGGGGGTTACTGTATATAGTTTCCAAAACTTAATTGCTCTTTTTTGAGTTTTTATTATTAGTGGATATTGGCCTAATTCTGCCCTGCATGCATTGTTTGTAGTTTTCCTCTGGACATGTAGGAGAATCTTACAGAACTCTGCATGCAGGGTTTCAAAGGGGTGTTTGTCCCATTTGGTGAAATCTTGTTTTGCAAGTGGACCCCACACCTCGCTGCCATAAAGTGCAATTGGTTCAATGACACATTCAATTTAGCAACATTTTAATAGGTATTTCAATTTGAATTAGTTTTTTAATGGCGTAGAATGTCCTGCGTGCTTTCTCTCTCAGTTTGTTCTCTGCATCATTAAGGTGTCCAGTTGAGCTTATTTTTAAACCTAAGTAATTGTAGTGTGTGCAGTACTCTATATATTTTGTACCAATTGAGAACTTTGGTCTAATTCCCTGAGATCTGGATCTTCTCTGGAAAATCATTATTTCAGTCGTTTACTGCCAGGGTGTCACGCTCTGGCTCCGGGACTTTGTATTATTGAGCCAGGGTGTGTTCAGTTTTGTTGTGTTTGGGGATTAGTTGGGTTGTTATTGGTTGTTTCATTGTTTGGTCCAGTGACTCCCAATCAGTGGTAACGAGTGTCAGCTGTCGGCTCGTTATCTCTGATTGGGAGCCATATTTAAACTGTCATTGTTCACCTTGGGGTTGTGGGTTTTTGTTCTATGTTCAGTCGTTGTCACTGAGGACTTCATGATCGTGTTTTGTTTTGTATTCTCGTGTATTGCATTAAAGTCAATATGTTCGCTACCAACGCTGCGCTTTGGTCCTACTTCATAGACGATCGTGACAGAAAAACCCACCACAACGAGACCAAGCAGCGTTTCCAGGAGTTGGATGATGAGTGGTGGAGACAGAAGAGCGAAGGTTGGGAGAGGACTATAGAGGCCTGGTCCACGGAGAGGAGAGACCCCCAGAAAATTTTTAGGGGGGGGCTCACGACGTCGGGGGCAGCAGGAGTACGGGTTAGAGGAGTGCAGTAGGTTGGCAGAAAAGGCCGCCAGGTTAAGGGGGCCACTGGTCACGAAGGGGAAGGAAGGTGTGGAGGCACGGCGAAGGGTACTGGGGTGTGTTACCAGTCCGGTCCGGCCCGTTCCTGATCCCCGTGTAGGGCCAGGGGTGTGTGTCCTCAGTGCGGTCCTGTCTGTTGCTGTTCCTCGCATGGAGCCTGTGGTGCGCGCCGCCAGCCCGACTCGGTCTGTTCCTGCTCCCTGCACCAAGTCTGTGGTGCGTTTCGTCGGCCCTGTCCGGCCCGTGCCTGCTCCCCACACCAAGCCAACGGTGTGCGTCGCTAGGCCAGCTCGACCTGTTCCTGCTCCCCGCACCAAGTCTGTGGTGCGTTTCGTCAGCCCTGTCCGGCCCGTCCCTGCTCCCCGCACCAAGCCAATGGTGCGCGTCGCCAGCCCAGCCCGGCCTGTCCCTGCTCTACGCACCAAGCCAAAGGGGTGCGTCGCCAGCCCAGCCCGGCCGGTTCCTGCTCCACGCATCAAAACTACGGTGTGCGTCGCCGGCCCAACCCGGACTGTTCCTGCCACTCGCACCAGGCTAAGGGTGCGAGTCGTCAACCTGGGTCAGCTCGTTCCGGCTACTCGCACCAAACCAAGGGGGCGAGTCGTCAACCTGGTTCAGCCTATTCCTGCTACGCGCACCAAGCCAGGGAGGCGAGTCGTCAGCCTGAGGTCCGTTCCGGCTCCACGCACCAAGCCGAGGATGCGTATCGTCAGCCAGGTCCGGTCCGTCCCTGCCTCACGCGCCAAGCTAGGGGTGCGCGTCATCAGTCCGGATCCAGCCAGCTGGGTGGGATCGGACCGGGGCCATTACGGGGGGATGGATGTAGGATGGTGGTCAAGCCCGGAGCCAGAGCCGGAGCCGCCTCCAAAGAGAAACACCCACCCAGCCCTCCCCTATTTGGGTTCTTTGAGGCGCGGTCGCAGTCCGCGCCTTTAGGGGGGGGGTACTGTCACGCTCTGGCTCCGGGACTTTGTATTATTGAGCTAGGGTGTGTTCATTTTTGTTGTGTTTGGGGATTAGTTGGGTTGTTATTGGTTGTTTCATTGTTTGGTCCAGTGACTCCCAATCAGTGGTAACGAGTGTCAGCTGTCGGCTCGTTATCTCTGATTGGGAGCCATATTTAAACTGTCATTGTTCACCTTGGGGTTGTGGGTTTTTGTTCTATGTTCAGTCGTTGTCACTGAGGACTTCATGATCGTGTTTTGTTTTGTATTCTCGTGTATTGCATTAAAGTCAATATGTTCGCTACCAACGCTGCGCTTTGGTCCTACTTCATAGACGATCGTGACACAGGGCCCAGGTCTGGCAGTACTGCTCTACCAGGTCCAGGCTCTGCTGTAGGCCATGTGCTGTGGGTGACAGCAGGCATAGGTCATCTGCAAAGAGCAGGCATTGTGGAGACTAACACCAGGGGCTGAGGATTTTTCTAGAATAGTGGCCAATTCGTTGATGTAAATATTGAAGAGTGCAGGGCTCAGATTGCAATCCTGGTGAAGGCCCCGCCCCTGGTTAAAGAATTCTGTTATTTTCTTACCAATTTTGATGCTGCACTTATTGCCAGTATACATTTATTTAATTATATAATATGTTTTACCTCCTACACCACTTTCAATAACTTTGTAGAACAGTCCTGTATGCCAAATATAATCAAATGCTTTTTGGAAGTCGATAAAGCAAGCGTACATTTTGGTATTATTTTGGTGGACATGTTTATCTATCAGGGTGTGTAGGGTGTAAATATGATTGGTCGTGTGATGTTTTGGTATAAATCCAATTTGGCTTTTACTCAAGACATTGTGCTTATTAAGGAAGTTTAGAACTCTTACATTTATAATAGCACAGAAAACCGTCCCCAGGTTACTGTTCACACAAATGCCTCTGTAATTGTTAGGGTCAAATTTGTCTCCGTTCTTAAAGATTGGGGTTATGAGTCCTTGATTCCAGATGTCAGGCAAATAACCTACACTCAGGATCAAATTAAACAGTTTTAATATAGCCAATTGACATATTGCACTAGTGAATTTGAGCATCTCATTTAGGATGCCATCATGGCCTGAAGTTTCTTATAGAGCTCCTGGTTATAGCTTTGTCTATCTCACCTCCACTATCCCAGCATCCTTTGCTGCACAACTCTGTGTCCGGCAGGAGAAGGGATGTGTGTCCAGAGGAGCTATATACTTAATAAACATTGTAAGATAAGACACTATCACCATAATATAGAGACATGATAGGCTCTATAATATGCTGTCTTGCGTGCTCCGACCGAACTTTGCTATTTTGTGAATCTTTTGCCGTTTATCTTTACTTTTTCGTGTTTTCTTTATTATATATTTAGTATTTTTATTAATTATACTAGTTTTGATTACTGCACTGTTGGGTAGAGCATTCAAGTTAAGCATTTCACTGTACTTGTTTATGTGACAATAAAACTTGAACTTGATAGACACTGCTGGTCCATGCTGTTAAGAGTGCAGTTTTCTGTTCTACAGGGTGGGGGCACCAGAGAGACACAGCTGAACCTGCCTTTATCATCCCTGACTCAGGGTCTATGTGTGCAGGTACGAACGACCTAACTATGAATGGCTTTTGTATTACGTGAAAGCATCGCTTATCTTACTTTGACTTTTTCTTTATTTCCGTTTCACACTCTCTTTATCTCTGTAGGTCTGGCGGTCAGATCCTGCACAGTATGGGAGGAGACTACTGTGTCCTGACTGTGAGTTCACCCTCATTTACATTTTAGTCATTTAATCATCACACACACACACACACACACACACACACTCCTTCCAACACTTATACGTAGTATCCTCATATGCCTCCTCAGATTCTAACAGGAGATGGGGTCTCTATGCTGTTGCAGCCTTGACACTTCTGGTTACTGTGGCAACGCTGGGAAGCCTCATCCACTATGTGACCAAGAAGGGAGTCACAGGTCAGTTTTCTTGTACTGTACGTAGACCTTTGTAGCCCCTTCTTGTGTCCTCAGTCATATTGCATTGCATTAATATTGAGTGCTGTCCTTGACCTATCTGCTCTGTCTGTGTGTCTGTCAGTCTCACCTTATCCTTCAATCCTAACACACTTAATTTTATCCATTGATTTAATACCAACGGCATAATGGCCATCATTAGCTAAATCATTGAGAAATCAAGCAATAAATGAAAATCATTTCCAATCTCTATTTTGTCTGTCTGTCGATCTGTCTGTCTGTCTGTCTGTCTGTCTTTATGTCTGTCTCTATGTCTGTCTCTCTCTCTCTCAATCTCTCTCTCTCTCTCTCTCTCTCTCTCTCTGTCTTTCTGTCTGTCTCTCTCTCTCTCAATCTCTCTCTCTCTCTCTGTCTTTCTGTCTTTCTGTCTGTCTGTCTGTCTGTCTGTCTGTCTGTCTGTCTGTCTGTCTGTCTGTCTGTCTGTCTGTCTGTCTGTCTGTCTGTCTGTCTGTCTGTCTCTCGCTCTCTTCCCTTGACCCTCTACTTCTTTGTATATGTCTTTGTGTGTGTCTCTGCCCCCCCCCCCTCTTTCTCCCTGCAGGTTGGCTATTCATCCAGAGGCCTGTGTTGTTGGTATGTTCCTCAGAGCAGTCAGCCCATGTATCTGCCGTGTGCGCTTTGGCCTCCTTCCTACAGGGGGAGTTGTGTGCTGAAGTGCGCATGGCTTTGTGGGCCCAGAGCTCCATTGGGGCTGGTCCTGGGGCTGTGGAGAGGTCTTGGGCTGGGGTGGCTGAACTGGGCCCTGTGCCCTGGCTGTATGGACAGTGGGAGGCAGTTAGAGAGGCAGGAGGCCAGATGCTGATCGTATGGAGCGCAGAGGCTAAGGAGTCTTACAGGAGCTGGAGAGAAGAGAGGGAGGGAGGGGATAGGAGAGAGGGGGAAAAGACAGGAGGGAGTAAAGGAGAGGAGATGCAACGAGGGGAAAGGGGAGGAGAAGAGATGGAAGGACTTGAGAAAACAAGAGGGGAACAGGAGCAAGCAGGAATGAAGAAAGGAGGGGAATGGAAAGAGGAGAGTAGGAGCGGAGAGGAGAGAGAGCCCTCTTCAGTGACAGGGCCAGTGTTCAGGGCTGCCCTGTCCTGTCTGCAGGGGGCACTAGAGGGGGAAGGCAGGGTCCACGGCTTCACCATTGTCTACTTCCAGGGCCTCTGTCACAGCCGAGACATCCCCAAGGACCTCAGAGGAGTCCCGCGCTACTGCCTGCCTCAGGATTTCGGAGGCCTGATACGTGAGCTGGGCAGGACCGCTAGAGGGAGGAACAGTGTGATTGGCAGCTGGGACTGTTCCTCTCCAATACACTGTCACTTTGGTTGGCACGACGACTAACTCACAGGCTCAGAGTGTCGTTGTCACAGGAAGAGGAGGGGCTAAAACCGAAATCATCACAGGAAGTGATATCAGAGAGGACACTGAACAGGCATGTGTTGCCGTTGTCAACTAATGAGGAGAGGACAGAGCCAAGCACTTTGCGGAGAAGTAGTTGCTCAGCGGGTCACCATGGTGATGAGGCAGGGCATCTCAGGTTTCACCTTTTTACAGGGGCCAGACTTTTGTCTTGACTGTAACATGAGGCAGAGCACATGGGAACACATGGCACAGCTAACAGAACTAAAGGAGGAGGAGGAACACATGGCACAGCTAACAGAACTAAAGGAGGAGGAGGAACACATGGCACAGCTAACAGAACTAAAGGAGGAGGAGGAACACATGGCACAGCTAACAGAACTAAAGGAGGAGGAGGAACACATGGCACAGCTAACAGAACTGAAGGAGGAGGTGAGAAAGCTGAGGTGTGACAGAGAGCAGGACACTCCCCCAGAGTAGCCAGCAGAACAGCCCACCTCAAGCACGGACCCAGACCACAACCTCAACACCACAATGGGACAGAAAACACAGGACCCACAAACTCAACAGACCTCACCCCCTCCTAACAGCCCCCCTGTCAGCTCCCCCGATAGCTCTCCTGACAACCCCCACACATCCACTGAGGACACAC